CCCCCCCCCCCCCCCCCCCCCCCCGGCCAAGCTGCCAGGCCAGCTGACGGGGCGGGTGCCTTCCCCCCGCCCGCCCCGCCTGCTCTCTGGGCACCGTGGAGCCAGCCTGCTTTACATTCTGTTTCCGTTTTTGCTTTCTGCCAGGGGACCGGAGCAGCTTAGCTTTTTGTCTTCATATTTTCCTCCACCATGAGCTCCCCCCGCCGGTCCCCTCACTTGCTCTCCGGCAGGGTCATAAATATGCAGCGGATGGCGCCACTTCTGTGAGGGCTGAAGTCTGTTCTCTCATCTCCACCGCGCGCTTGCTCGCGCTCTCTCTCCCTTCCCTTTTTTATTGCCTTTTTTCCTCACTTCTTCCCATCCTTCCCGGCTCTGCTTTTACTCCTCTCTCTTTGCTCGTCTCCATGTCTGCCCCCTTCTTTCCTGCCCCTTTGCATTTCTCCTTCTCACCCTCCCCCCACTTCTTCCTTTCTCCCCATCCCCCCGCCCCCTCCCTCTGCTCGTCACTCTTGCCTTCGACCCTTCTCCTGTTCCTGCTCGCCCCTCTTCTGCTCTGTCTTGTTCTTCCTTCCACCCGGAATCTCCATGCTCCAAATGCAGCCCTCTCAGTTCCAGGCTCCCGAAGCCAGCACGCCCAGCCCCGCCCTCCCCGGTAGGGCAGGTAGGAAGAAGGAGGCAGGCAGAATTGGCTCTGGGTGAACACTCCTCTCGCCCTATTTTTAAGTTCTCCTCCCGCTCGAGCTTGTACACGTGTCAAAGCACCGACAGTTCTCCGTGAGAACTGTGTTCACAGGTGTGCGTGCTGAGGAGCATCCCTGCCGCCTCCCCCAGCAGCCCCTGAGGCCGCGGAGCCGGCACCAGGGTAGGGATGGGAACAGGTGACTCTGGGGCTGACAGCGAGCATTGAAGGGACAGTAGTCCCCTTGACGTAGGAAGAGAATACGGCGGAACGTCCCAAGACAAGGTCCCGGTCCTCAGGAGAGCCAGGGAGAGTTAGGGGAGACTTAGTAATGCTCCTGTTCCACCCACCACAACCCCAGGACAGTCGGTAATATTTTGATCCCAATTTTGCATGCAGGAAGGGTTAAGGAGGTTGCCTGCGGTCACAGAGCTCTCGAGGGGCTGAAGAAGCCATTGATCTGGTGGCTCTGGGGCAGCTCTGTGCACTTGTCTCCTTTTCTTCTGGGCCTCAGACCCTTTCCTCAGCCTTATGTCTGTATCCCTTCTGCCCAGAAAGGCAGGATCGTCCTTTAGACACACAAAACGTTAAACACAAACAGCCCTTAGAGATCGCGTAGTCTAGTGCCATTATATTAGAGACACAGAGGCTGGGGGGCCCGGAGGTGGAGACCCCAGGGCCCGTCTGCGGTCGAACCGGAAACAGGTCCTGCCCTCACACCCTGTCCCAACCTCCAGGTCATTTCTTGCCTATGGCCTGGTAGGGAAAAATGTGTTCCAAGTTTCTGGAGGAAGAGAGATGCATCAGGCTTAGAGGGATGGCTGTGTGCTTAGACTCTGATGACTCTTTAGTCTCCTAATCCAGGAACTCTCGAACCATTTACCTCGACTGCAGGATCTAGCTTCCGGAGCTGCTGGGTTCAGGGTGTCTGAGGGAAGCGGGGCTGACTGTAGAGGCCCCAAACACGGTGTCAGTATGGGAAGGCCCAGGCTGTAGCCAGAGCACTCCTCTGGCCTTGGTAGTGATGATGATGATGATGATGATGACGATGATGATGATGATGATGGTACCTTTCAGCATGGCAGTTGCCTTCACGCACCTGACCTTATTCAATCTTTAAAAGACCTGAGGGATGGGGCACCTGGGTGGCTTAGTCGGTTGGGCGTCTGCCTTCAGCTCAGGTCATGATCCTGGGGTCCTGGGATGGAACCCTGCATCAGGCTCCCTGCTCAGCGGTGAGTCTGCTTCTCTCTCTCTCTCTCTCTCTCTCTCTCTCTCTCTCTCTCGCCCTCTATCTCTCCCTCCACTGCTCATTCTCTCTCTCTCTCAAATGAATAAATAAAACCTTAAAAAAAAAAGACCCTGAGGGAGTAGGTGTTATTTTCCCATTTTATAGAAAGGCAAAGGAAGCCTCTTCAGAGGGCTTTCGTTCTTGCCCAGCCACTAGTGAGCGGTGGTGCCAGAGCTGGACCCCAGGCCTCCTGACTGCAGAGCTCGGAGTCAGAGCCTCCCCCCTGTCCCGGCCTAGCTGATGGGCCTCTCTTCCCTACCTCCCTGTCCAGAGCCTGGCCAGCCGGCTCAAGGAGAACATGGAGAAGCTGACCGAGGAGCGGGATCAGCGCACCGCAGCTGAAAACCGGGAGAAGGAACAGAACAAGAGATTGCAGCGGCAGCTCCGGGACACCAAGGAGGAGATGGGCGAGCTCGCCAGGAAGGAGGCCGAGGCGAGCCGCAAGAAGCATGAACTGGTAATGCAGCCCAGCCCGCGGCCTCCCCACCCCCTCCCCAGAGCTGAGTGGTTGTTATGCACACACCTCCCCGCTGGGCGGGTGGGGGGCGGGCCACAAAGAAACCGGAGTTTAGATCCTGGGAAGGAAGAGGAACGTGGCAAGCAGACGGTCCAGGAAGTCCCGAAGGCAGGCCCAGGGGCCGAGGGCGGGACCCGGGTGTCCATCTGGCGAGCCCAGGCTTGCAGCAGCCTCCACAGAGCTCCTGCCTGGCTGGAAGACACTTGAAGCCGGCTTTTTCTGGAGCACCTGGATGAGAGACTAGCCCTCCGCTGAACCGGACTGCCCACTTTTCCTCCTAGGAGATGGATCTGGAGAGCCTAGAGGCTGCTAACCAGAGCCTGCAGGCCGATCTCAAACTGGCATTCAAGCGCATTGGGGACCTGCAGGCTGCCATCGAGGACGAGATGGAGAGCGACGAGAATGAGGACCTCATCACCAGGTGAGGGGTCCTCTGTGGCAGCGGCGGCCTGCACCAAGGCCCTCAGACCACCTCTGGAGCAGGCCGCGAGGCAGAACAGCCGCGACCTCTGTCTCCCTGCCCCCGAGCCACAAGCCCACCTTTCCCTCCTTGCCAGCCCCCCGCACGGACCCTGGCCTATATTGACCGAGGGCAGGACAGGTGCCCCCTGGCTGAGACGCCCTCCCTCTTTCTCCCTGTCCTGCCTCCCCAGGCCTCCCAGGAACCTGGTTCTCCAGCTCGGCCTATTCACGATGAGTTATTCCCCCGTTTAGCTGCATTTCCGATGGTGCCTGCCCCACTCTGGGGAAAGCAGAGATTTAAGGCCTGTGGTGCCCTGTTACCATGCCAGAGATGTTCTCTCATAAAACCCACCCGAGGAATGGTTCGAGAGAGAGAGAGAGAGAGAGAGAGATTTGTAGTCTGAGGCTGAGGAAGGAAGTCACAGGGCAGGTAGACCGGTAGCTCTGGGGGGTGAGGGTCGGGCCCTGGAGAAGCTCCCAGGGCTGCCTTGGACAAAACCCCGGCCCCCCAGACCTGCCCCCTTCCCGCACGAGCGCTGGTGCCCCATCCTGCAGGCAGGTCCCGGCCCACACAGGGAGCCTGCTCCTTCAGGGCAGGAAAACAGTGCCCCAGGGCAACCCAGACCTCCCTCTGAAGACAGCACTGCCACTCCCCCCTCCCCACCCCCAGCTGGTCTCAGCCAGTCACAGCCATCTCTTGCTGAAGAAAAAGGGGTCCTCAGGGGAGAGGTCCACCTTGGTTTGCCCACTGATTTTTCGATCTTCTTCTTCTGGCCCTCTTGCCCACCATTTTCTTTCTGTTTCCAGTTTGCAGGACATGGTGACAAAGTATCAGAAAAGAAAGAATAAACCGTGAGGACTGGAGCGCTCACGCTCTCTGCCTCTCCCGTGGTGTCTAACCACCCCTAACACTGGCTCCCACCCAGGGCCCCCGCTGCATGCCGCACGTGGACACAGCCTCTCACACCTCCTCCAAGCTAGTCCCTCGCTAACACTGCTGACTCTGTCCTGAGGAGAGGCAAGGCCAGGGGCCGGGCCCTGCGCTGGAGGTGGAAGGCAGGCAGTGAGGCGTGCTCACGCCCTGGGTGGGCAGGATGGGGGCTCCCACAGAAAAGGGGGCTCAGCTTCAGTCTGCCTTCCTGAGCTCCAGCCCTCTCCTCCCTCAGAAAGCAGGCAGAGCTGCCTCCCCGGCGTGTTTCCCTGTGGGAAAATCTGACTGGGCTGGATTTGTCCACACCCTGGGGCTCCTTTGGAGCCTGCGCCGCCTGAAAGAAGCGGGCAGCTTTCATTTTGAAAAGGTCCACCCCCTTCCTGTGGCAGACAAGGGTACAAGGTCTGGGGCATCTAGCAGTTCCTTGTCTGGAGAAGGGCGTCCAGCCAGGCTGTCACGGGCCGCTCCACAGGGGCAGGCGAAGGGAACCCAGCCCGACGTGTTTCCTTTGCTCCCCGCGGGCACCTCGGGCAGAGGGAGGCCCCGGGCGCTTGCGCTGGTGCTGTCATCTGTCAGGTGGTGGGGAGCCCAGGAAATCCCCCTTCTCTCTTTGATTGCTTCTTTCTGGGTGGGAGCTGGACAGCGGGTGCAGAGGCGCAGGCCTGGAGGCGGATCAGAGTGATCCTCTGTCGAGTTCTTCGGGGCTGTTTGTTTGGAGGTTGTTGTTTTAGCGTGTCATTGGATTTCCTTCCCCTACTCTCTCCTGCCTGGCAGGCCTCCTCCCCTGGCCGGGATGGGCGGGTGGCAGCGCACAGGACTCCGGGAGAGCTAATGATAAATGTAATAGTGTGTAACAGTGATAGAGGGCCACTGGAGCCCGGTTGTCACACACAATTAATATCCCCCGCCGTCCTGTCTCCGTTTGTTTGTTCCCCCGCGATTCGGCTCCCAGTTAACTAATAGCACATGAGCCTGGACATAAATTGTATTTGACTCGGGGTTTAATTCCGACCATTTAAAATTTCAACTGCCCCCTGAGCCTGCCTGCCCCTGGAGTTTGTTTAGGGGCCTGATTATTTAAGGAAAAGAACCTAAACACCGTCTATATGCTTGAAACTAAAGGGAAGGCGAGGGCGGGCAGGCTGGCGTCTCCATCCATTCGCTGCTCTGAATGGAAGGAGGAAAATTCGTATTCTGGGTCCACGACGCTCTGTCCCCTGTGTGTTCCAGCCCTGCCATCCTTGGGCTGGAGGAGCTTCGAGGGCTGATAAAATGCGCATTTAAGATCATCTTCTAAACCATTGCCAGGCATGGGCACGTGCATGCACGCACGTGCGCACACACACACACACCCCGGTGTGCACTCACGCAGCCGCACTGGGGCGTGCAGTCCTCACCACAGTCCCGCTGATGGCAGAGGTGGTGTGGCTCCGTGCTCAGCAGCTCTGGGGCCCCAGCTCCCAAGTTATCGAGCGAGAGCGAGTAAGTGTGCTAAGGCGGGCAGAAAAATAATGTTTCGATTTACTTAGAGATACAGTTGTTATTGCCATAACCTTAATGAAAGCAGTAAACAGTGCAGTATTAAGGGAGATTTATACAGAAACACTTTTAACATGTAGACATAGATTTTGCGATGCATACAACACCTCCTTTCTAAAGGCAATCAATATGGTTATGAACGGGGGTGATAAATTAAAGGCTCTGAAGCTACAGAAGGAGGTTTTTTGCACGGGTGTATAAATCAGGTAGTATTGGCGTTCCGTGGGGCCCGTGCACCACAGTAAATCTGCCAAGCTCGGACAGGCATGGGGCTTGCATTAGTGGTTTCGGGGCTCTCTGCTAAACTCCTGTTTACCCGGGGCATCAGCCAGCCTTGTCCTTGTTATAATTCTGTATTTGGTGGAAGCCCATAAAATATGCCTCTTTGTTCCCCTCCCAACAGGTCATGCTCTCTCACAGTCCCCAGAACGGAGTCTGGTGGTTTCCTGTGTGTGTGTGTGTGTCTGTGTGTGTGTGTGTGTCTGTGTACACATGCATGCACGCACACACACGCCTGTATGGCTATTTATTCAAGAACATAATTCAGGAATGGGGCTGCTCGTGTTGACACAGATGAAAGGAAATTTATATCAAGGAAAAATCCTTAGCATCTCTGTAGCAGGGGAATGTGGGAGCAGACATTTTGCAGAATTCTAGAAGCATTCTCACTCAGAAGCTGTCCCTAAGCCCCCGCTGCTTTGTGAAGGAGTCACCACGACTCCAGCTTCCAAATCGGACTCCTTGGGGCTTTTCTGCCGGTAGAGAGGGCTCAGGCCGGCTTGGCCAGACGCACAACTGAGGAGGAAGGGCTAGAGGCTGCCTGAGGGAGGGAAGAGGAACCTGGGAGAGACAGCCATTGTCTGGGACTTTCTGGGGCTCAAATGGATCTCCAGGACGCAGTTTGAATCCCAGAGCCGTTGCCAGCACCTCAGGAAATGGCGGATGCCCCCTCCTCATCCTTCTGTTTCCTAAGGGCCAGGGAAGTCGCAGGGTGGTCTGGGATCTGGCTGGTCGCACTCAGCGCCACCATCAGCCAAGGAGCCTCCAGTTCAAGCTAACTGAAGGCATAACGATGCCCTTCCCCCCACCCCCCCCCCCCCCCCACACCCCATGGCCCGCAGTCTGGCTCTTGCAGCGAAGGCATGCGAAATGGCCGCGGGTGTGGCCACATTTCTGGGAGTGGGCAGACAAGAAACGGAGTGGGCCTCAGGGATTAGCCTATGGCCTGGGACTGGTCTTTTTAACCAGCGGCCATTTAGCTGGAACTCCTAAATGGATGGTTTCCCTGTTACCCTCATTGGGTTTGTTTGGCTCAATAGCAGTCTGTCACCGAAAGTAGAATGGGAGGTGCCTCTACGCTCCTCAGGGTCCTCTTGGTGGCTCTCACAAGTGTCACCTGCTGAGTGGGGCAGGGTCCTCGTGAATGGGGCGCCCCGTCTAACCTCCCTTGTTCTGCTCTCTGACTCACTGATGTGCATGCCACCCCGCATCACACCCCCACCTCAAGGCAAATCTGCTGCCCCTTCAGCACTCCCTACTGGGCCTCGGGTGAGCTCTTCCTCCCCGGCCTTGCCTACCTTTCTGCTCCTCATCCCACAGCGAGGGGGATTCCGATGTGGACTCTGAGCTGGAGGACCGGGTCGACGGGGTCAAGTCATGGTTGTCAAAAAACAAGGGGCCTTCCAAGGCAGCTTCCGATGATGGCAGCTTGAAGAGTTCCAGGTGAGCACGTGGCCTTGAGCTCGGAGGAAAAACCACCCCATGCGCCAGGGATAAAGGAGCAGTGCCTCGATCCCAGAGAGGCCAGGCCTCTGGTACCAGCCTCTCTTGCCTGGCATGTGTATGCGGGGCCCAGGCATGCCTCCAGGATGAGGAATGAGCACAGGAGGCTCAGTGTCTTCTTAGTCGGGGTCTGCAGCACCCTTGTTTTTCCCAGGTAATGGTTTCCTACCAGGCTCCGGGCTTTGGTTTGCTGCAGGTTTGACTTCATCCCCACTTACTCATTCAACAAATGGTGGTTGAACCACCAGAAAGTTTGGGGCCCGGAATCAAGACTGGAATGGGGCATAAGGAGTCTGTAGACCCCACAACCCTGGACAGGGCTGGCTCAAGCCGGCTCTGGACCTCTGAAATCTTAACGGGACGAGCAGCAGAAAAGGCACTGGTCCCCCTGACTCGCCTATCACAGCCATATTGCTCTTTCTCTGCCCATTCTCTCCTTCCTCTGATCTTTTCGCCAGGTCCCCTCGCCGCCCCCCCCCATGCTTCCTGCTCACACCCATCCTCTGCAGGAACTCATTCCCCCTTTGTCCAGCCCAGTCCGTCTTACGATCACACAGACAGCTCCCACCGGAATCCGGCTCCACGGTCCCCACTCCTCACCGCCTCCCAGTTTCTCCCCAACTCAGAGCCAACCTGATCCCCGCCCCCCCAGGGCACACCCTTCCTCACCCCCCTCCCAGAGTCAGCGGGGCCGGCTGGGTTGACTAGTAATCCCCCCCTCCTCCCACTACCCTGAGGCCTCTTCCCAAGTCCAGCCCCTCACTCACCACCAGCACCCCACGGCCCCCTCTAATTGGTTTAATTTATTCAGCCAAACAACATTTTGTTACCGCAGATAATGCTGCCTTACCCGCCCCACTGCCGTTCACCGCAGCGTGGCACAAGGCTCCAGGTAGTTGACAATGAAATAAATTGAACTAAACGTTTTAGAGGGGGAAAAGTGATGAAATAGAACAATGGTCTAATTTACATGACATTCTCCATGAAGCTATTTTCACTGACGCAAATTATTTTGCTTCATTTCCTCCAGTGCTCTCACTGCCATTTTTCCCCGGGTGCTGCTGGTTGCTCCCTTTGCCTCCCTCCCCCTGTGTCTTTATTCCCTGGGTTTCATGCAGGCTCCTCTCTCTCTCCCTCTCTTTCTCCCTCTCTCTCTCTCTCTCTCTCTCTCTCTCTCTCTCTCTCTCTCTCTCTCTCTCTGTGCTCCCTCTAATCCACTGCTGGTTCTCTCTTCCCGGCCTCACCTCCCTCCCCTAGAACGGCCCTCAACAGCTCCAGCAAAGAGGGCAAGGGGGCGGAGGAGAGGCCGGCCTCGGCGCTGAGCTCCCTGAGCTACCGGAAACGGCTCACCCTGAAGGACTCCATCGGGGGCACCGGGGACGAGGACTCGCTCTTCACCGCCCTGAGCGAGAGGCCAGCCTCCCCCGAGAGGCCCCCCCGGAAGACCCGCACGCGCCCCAGGGAGGAGCCGGCCGAAGGCGGCTCTGCCGGCGCCGAGGCCCCGAGCCGCCTGGGCCGGGGGCTGGAGAAGCGGTGGGGCTCAGACTTCGACCGGGCCTCCACAGTCTCTGCCCCCACCAGCCGGGCCTCCTCGGCCACACGGCGTGGCTCTGGTGAGGACGGGGCGCGCTCGTCCATGAGCTTCTCGCTCTCGGGCTCCCCCAGTTCGCGGCGCAGCGCCTCCCGCCTAGATACCCTCTCCGGGACCCTCAGTCCTTCCCTGAGCCGGGCCTCGGGCCTGGGCCGGGACAGCCCCGATTCCCGCCTGTCCCTGGGCCAGAGCTGCCTGGATGCGTGGGATGACCGAGCCAGTGTGGCCTTGAGCGAGGTCCACTCCCAGTACAGCCACCCGTCGCTGGCCCGCAGTCTGTCGGTGCCACCGCGGCCACGCGGCTCAGCCTCTGCCGCGGACGAGCCTCTCGGCTCCGGCATCCGCCCGGTCAGCCGTCACTCCTACCTGGACCCCGACCTGGAGGCCGCCATCAATGAGGTCTTGAGCTACAAGCCCGTCCCGTTCCAGAGGAGCAGCCTGGAGCCCGACTCGGAGGAGGATGACCGGAAGAGCATCCAAAGTGTCCGCAGCGCCCAGCTGGGGCTCCCGGTGCGGGCGGCCAGCATCCGCCGCTCAGCCTCGGCCGCCGACGTCTCCCGGCCCCGCAGCAGCCGCAAGGGCCGGAGCAGGAGACGGAGCAGCTCCAGCTCCAGCTCCACCTCCAGCTCCGAGGAGTCCTCGGAGCCCAAGCGGCGGAAGAAGGGGCGCTCGCGAAAGAGCAAGAAGAAATCCAAATCGAGAAGAGAGAGGACGGAGAGCGAGTCGGAGTCCTCGTCGACCTCCAGCGGCTCCACCGTGTCAGGCCACAGCCGCTCGAGCGTGAAGAAGGGCCCAGCTGCAGAAGAGGAGGCGGCGGGCCGGGCCGGCCGGCGGTCTCGGCAGTCTCGGAAGGAGGAGAAGCAGCGCAGGAAGGAGGTGGACAGCCTGATGATGCGGTACCTGTACCGGCCCGAGAGCGACTAGTGCAGTAGGTGGCGCCTGGCGCGGAGCATGGAGCGTGCAGCTCGGTGTGAACTAACGTGCGCCCACCCCCCCACCCCCGCCACGACCGGGGCCTCTCCTTCAGGCCTGGCGGGCGCGCCTGGCCTCAGGGAGCTTTCCGGCTGCCTCGGACAGTGGAGCCGGTTAGTCCTTCTGAGCCCCGAGCCCTGGCGACTGATCCTGCTGAGGACGGCCGGTCACACGTGTTAAGTCCCTACCGTGAGCCGGGGGCTCCCCTAGATATTCGCCACACTGCGTTCACCTAATCCTCATACTAACTCCGTTAACAGGCCTGATGAGCCTCACTTTATAGGAGACAAAGCTGAGGCTCGTGGAGGTGAAGTCACTTGCCAAGGTCACACAGTTGGGAAGTGATGTTGCTGGGATCTGAATGGAGTCTATTCAACTTGCCCTTGACCACTCCTCCAAATGGCCCAAGGCAGAGCACGGGGGTGACATGTTTACTGTGTGTGCCTGGCTCTCGCAGCCCACCCCGCCCACCCACCCTGCCCCGGGTATGAGTTGGTATGTTAGTGGCCATCATCCATCATGAGGCCTTTTGGCTCAGCTCTCCCCTGCCCTGCAAAGCCACCTTTCAAGCCTCGGGGTGCAAGGCTCACAGTACCACACCCTACATCAAACCCCGAGATGCCTGACTCCCTCCCCCCACCCTCCCACCTGAAGCCCACACATGGGCGTCACCTCGTCTCAGCACATCTTAAAAAAAAGTTATAATGAATAGAAATTAGCAGCTGCTGACTGACAGCCCCCTCCTGGCTCTCCTGCCTCTCCCAGCCTTCTCTCTGTGGGAAGGGAAATCTAGCAGTTAGGCCCTTTATGCCCACACCCCCATCTCAGAAGAAAGGCAAAGACTGACTCACTGGAATCCCATTGTTGCCAGTTTCCCTGGTGGGTGGTGACATTTGGATCACCCTGGTTAATGTGAAGCTGTTTTCGGCGTGGTACCTCCCAGGGCAAGCTTGCTGCTTCCCAGGAGATATGACCCCAGAGTGCAGCCCCCTGGGGCACGGGCACTGCATGAACTAACACATACCTGTCGCATGCTTGTGGGCCTCTCGTGCCATGGAGCACCTGAACAGGTACACTGACTTGGCGGAGTTCTATGCAAAGGAACCAGTTACGTTTTTTAAGAAATGCACAGGTAGGAGTGAATGTTACCTGCAGCTATTTGGAGATGGGTGAAGGGATGGGATTAGGGGGATGGATGGTGGGGAGAAGGTGGAATTTAAAAGTTGTATTTGTTCAAGACACAAAGATACAGAGAGAGGGAGCATGAGCAGGGGGAGAGGCAGAAGCAGACGCCCCACTGAGCCAGGAGCCCGATGCAGGGCTCGATCCCAGGACCCCGGGATCATGACCTGAGCCGAAGGCAGACGCTTAACCTTAAGTCTGCACCCAGGCAGAGACGGTGGAATTTAAACCCAGACCAGGCTCATGGCCATCTCAGACTCCTCGGACCCTGAGCTGCTCTGACACCAAGCCCTTGGGCTCAGCACTGCTCCCCCCATGTGGCAGGTGGGTGCAGGGTGCTCTGGGAAGAGCAGGAAGCATCTCGGTTGCACTAGGGAGCTGTTGTCGGCCCCACAATGAGAAAAAGACAGGAATTACAATATTGTGTCTACCGCCTCAGCCTTCCCCTCAGCAGCCCTGCTGAGTGCCCTGCTCCCCCAGCACAGGAAGTCAGTTGATAGGCCAGGCCCTTCTGAGCACAGCACCCCTGCCTAAAGAGGGAGAGAGGCATGGGCTTAGCCGGGCCATCCCACGCTGCTCAGCAGCTTGCATTTCAGACCCAATGCTCTCAGCCCAACATCACCCTTGACCCTACGACCAGCAAGGACAAAACCCCACAAAGCCTGTTTCTTCCGCCAGCCACCTGCACGGTTCCTCTTGTCCACCAGAAAAACAAGAGTAGTCCTGAAACCCTACACGCCACCACCGAGGAGGATTGGGTTCACGGCGGGGAGAGCGGGCACCGAGCCGAAGCTAGCCGGCCGATAGCAAGCCCGCAAGAGAAGGGCCAGGGGAGGGAGGACCTGGCCGGGCTTTGGGGCGCTAAACTGCCAAGCATGGGGGGCGGGGGGGGCAGAGCGGTGGCTTAGCTTCCCATCTGGTGATGGGGACCAGTGAGAATTCAGAAGGCGAACTCATCCATAGCAAAGGCAAGGGGAGGGGGCTGCCACCCTGGGCTCACACAGCAGGAATTAGCTTATACACCAAATTGTTTGTGACAGCTTTGCGCAGGAGACTCCGGCTTGTGGGGAGGAAAGCTTTTTGCACAATTCGGTTAAAATGTTCAAATTGCCAGCCCTGAGTCTTGCCCTGGGGAGGGGGCTAGCTGCCTGCTGTTGACTCTACAGCTGTGGCACCAGAGGCCACAAAGGAGCCTGGCTTGTAGCACACCCGGCCAGAAGCAAGGGTATCTTGCAGCTCCGCGGAGTCGGCCCCCCTCTCCAGCTACCTCTGCCCCTTGCCAGCACCCGGATGGAGCATGTCGGAACCTGGCTGTCATTTATCCAGGCGTCTGTCTGCTTGGCGGGCACAGGAGTGTGGGAGTGGGGGCCACAGCCCCACTCAGGAGAGGTGTGGGAATGGAAAAGAGCTCAGATAGACCCTACCCTGCTGTGCCCCGTCTGCATCTGGGTCCCAGTCCTGGCATCTGCCTTGCCCCCCGTCTGCCCCCAAAATAACCCTACTGTTTTTCCATAAAGTCAGTCCTTTCTTTACCCAACAGGAGACCTTAGCACTTGGGTGCCCAGAAATTCTGTCCAAAAATTGAAAATAAAATCAGGCTCCCACTAATTTAGAATTCAAACAACCCAAAAGCTAAAATAACCCCATTTTTTCTATGTTGCACAGTCATCATTGAGCTTTTTAATTTTGTCCCTGAGACACCCTAGAGTCCTTAAGTGCCTTTGGCCCATCAAAGTAAGACTCATTTATGTTCAGTCTGGTTTGTATTAAATGTTTTGTGCTATTCTGATTCCTTTAAAAATGGTAATTCATTCATGAGAAATATGATAACTATTAACCAGATTGCCCGATTCCTGAACCATTCTGCATAATTGAACATGTATTCTATCAGGCTCTTCCTTCTCCCCGGGGGAGACAGAGAGAGACCTATCTTTACACACCCCCTGGGCTCTGACCCAGGCAGGCGGGGAACATTCAGGTTTGGTTGTGTTTTCTCTTCAGGTCACCCAATCTAGCAGCAGGGTGGAGTCAGCAAAAGGCTTTGGGGCCTAAGAGTCCAAGTTCAAATTTACATACTGGCTGTGTGACCTTGAGCAAGAGGCTTCCTCTCTGAACCAGCTTCCTGGTGACATTTCATAGGGTTGTCGTGAAGAGTAAGATGCCTGTGGAGGGCAAGGGACAGTGTCTCTTACACACAGGAAGTACTCCGTAGCCAAACCCTTTCTTCCCAATACAGTTGGAAAAGCTAAGAATGTGGGTCTTTCTTGCAGAATACCGTTTCTGCCTCTTTTGGTTTGGGGATAGAAGAACTTCGAAGAGGCCAGTAAACAAGGTCCCCCCTGAGATTCTTAAAGCAGAGTTGGGGGCAGAGGGATCGCCAAATTCCTGTTTATCCCAGGGGGAAGTCTCTGGGATCTGGAAGAAGAGCTGTGTCCCTGGGAGCGCACTGGGCAGGAACTCTGGGTGCAGGGCACTGGTGGGGGGGGGCACTCTGGGCTGCATTTTGTTCAGAGGGCTGAAATTACGGTTCCCTTGAAACAGCGAGGTAGCAGAGGTGGGAGGGGCAGGGGCAGGCGGCTCTAAGGCTTTGGGAAAGAAAGAAAAGTGACCAGAGCAGGAGGTTTCCATCCTTGCTCAATGCCAGGAGCCTGCCCCATCCAGGGGATAATGTTCCTTCACATCCTAGTGAGGGGAAGCTGTAGGCTTCCAGTGGCCTGAGGAAAACTCTGCAGGGTTGGGTTATGGTACCAAGAAAGGGACGACTGTGCCATCCTGAAGCAGGGATCTAGCCAGTCCCCACATCCTGAGCCCCTTTTCCTTGTGGTGAGTAGATGATGCCATGGTCAAGGGCAGAAAGGCTCACAGGCCTTAGGAAAACAATGAGGAGAAAGGGTTAAGGTCTGGGAGTATCCAGTGGGGAAAGCCCCTCCCTCTTAGAAGGAATCCTGTTTAGGGATAAGGTAACTTTGGCAGGTTGTAGCCAGGTAATCACCAGACTGCCAGTCTCCAAGTCAGTGTGGTCCAGGGACCACCTGCATCAGAATCTTCTGGGGAAGAATTGAAAATGCAGAATTCCTCGGTTCCACCGAAAAGCTAACAAATCAAAATTTCTCAGGGGAAGGACGCAGGAGTCTGTAGCCAATTCTTAGGCACACTCAAGATTGAGACCCATGGCTCTACCACATTGCTTTCCAGGGAGTTTCAGAAGTTTTCAGAATCAAGACTATGCGCTCCTTTCTCTCACTACTCTGCATATCTTCTGGGGAAGTGAGGAATTGAATTTACTTCTCAATTTGTGGCTTTTGGGGAATGCTATGACGGGGCTTTGGGAGCCTCCCCAGACCCAAAGGCTTTGGTGCTGAAGGTTAAGGGCATCGTTCCGCCGTGACCTTGCTCCTCCTCTCTCCCCGCAGCCCTACCAGCTACTGGAAGTCCCTTGCCCCTGACCGGTCAGATGATGAGCACGACCCTTTGGACAGCACCTCCAGGCCGCAATACTCCCATAACTATCTGAGTGACAGCGACACAGAGGCCAAACCGACTGAGACCAACGCATAGCCCAGGGGAGTGGTCTGTACCTCTTGCACCCACCGGCCACTGCGGCCACGGCGCCTCTCCCAGGAAATGGCGGGGCACAGGTCTCCCCCACCTGACTGCTGATCTGCATGGGAAGCACCTGGCCCCCTTGGGTCTGGGGGGCTTTTCAAGCTGTGGGTGTCTGATGTCTCCACGTGGAAGAGGTGGGGGGGGAAGTTTCTGAAAAGAGAACT